TCTGGTATGATGTGCTGTATGGATGATTTGTTAAAAAATAGCATCATTAACAGGTAAAAAAAGTAGAAGAACTTAAACAACAGACTGCATTATTAGAACAAGAAAGGTTGGACTTGCAACAATTTATTGCCACTTCAGAAAATCTATCTCAAAATCCAATTAAGGTATAAACTAAATTCGTGTACAAAAATATTAAAAAGATTTATTTTCTAGATTCCTATTATAGATGTATTTTCTATGTAGCAAGGTAGCAGCGGAACGATACAAACGATAAATTCGAATTCTACTACTCCAGATAAGTTTGAACTCCTTGAAACTCCTGCTCGTGATACGTCGACAGTGACTCAAGAAGCCGAGGAAGACGATAGCGTTTCTGTTGTTGTTAGTCTTGGTGAAACAGATCCTGGAGATAAAGAATGGACTAGAATTCAATTGCCTAGGGTGGACGTTACTGAAGGATCATCCATCCTTCCAAATCCGCCATCTAGGTATTGTATTTTTTCTCAATAACGTGCATATTTTTTTAATATATAGAAATATTTTATAAAAAATAAGTATTTTTCAGACATTTACCATTGAAGTTTAAAATGGAAGTAATATCACATTGTTTAGTAAATGTTCCAAGTTCTGTAATATCGGCAGCAGAAGAAGTTTTCAAAAATGGAGTTACGCGCGATACTCTCGTTCATATTTTAGCACAAACGTTACCTCGCATCGTACCCAATGTTATCTTAAATAAACGCGAAGAGGTAATACCATTAATGTTAAGTGCAATTCGACTTCATAATGACTCTACAGAAAGGGAAAAATTATTACAAATGTTATTCAATCTAAAGAAAAGGCCACAAGAAGATGAAAGGCAATTAATTTTAGCTGGTTAGTTATTAATGCAAATTATCACTGATGATATAATCATTTTAAGTAGAAATGTCTTTTTATTTATTCCTTTTAATACTAGGTTTCGTTGCTATGGCTAAACTTGAAGATGAACCAATGGAAGGTGAAGAAATATTGACCATTTGTTGGGAACAAAGTCAGCATAAGTATCCTGAGAAAAGGTTGTTAGCTGTTGAGTGCTGTTCTGTATTAGCTCCATACATGTCAGTTGGGATAAGAAATTCTTTAATGCTCTCCATGCTTCAGCAAATGTTACTTGAAGATAAAGATCCAACAGTTAGAGCTAGTGTAGTGAGAAGTCTTGCACTGTTGATAGCTTTAATGGATGATCCTGATAAATATTTTCAGGTGCGATATAAAAAGAGAAGTTACTTAACGTTTAATAGAGATTTAAATGTATCATATCGATGATATTTATTTTTACAGTGTGAAGAATTAGCATTAACGGCACTTCATGACACGTCATCTATCGTCGTTGACGTTGCATCCTCTTTGCTTTTACCAATTTTAGCCCAGTGGGCACTCTGTCTTAAAAGATTACAAACACATTTATTACCACGTATAATATCTAAAGTAAAAAGTCATTTAAAGTCTGGGTATTCTCAACATTCGCCTAACAAAGATCATGTTGACGAAGGAAGAATAGTATCATCAATCGCGGTATTACAGTATTTACTTCCACATATGGTTATTTGCATTGCTGATACTGATTCTGTTAGATCTTATATTGAGCATGGAACACCATCCGATTTACGTGAGTATATCGTATATTTGCGTATAGAAAATATTTAAATAATTGTGACATTTAAAATTTTACATATGTTTTATTATGCAGCTGATGTGTTCCTGAATTTGTGTCATTCCAATATCGTTAATCCAAAGCTATTTTATAATGGAGATGTAGATATAGGATCTCTTCTAAATACGTTTTTTGCAAATACGTGGGAGAATGATTCATGGGGAGAATTAGAGTGGTTTACAAACTCACTGTACTTGATATTTTTCCTTTAAGTTCTCAATCGATACTTTCATATACTTACAATTAACACTTTCAGAGTATTGGACATTTTGGAAATGGTAAAATCTGTTGAAAGTACACAGGAGACCATTTTAAATGCTCTTTTAACATATATTCATTCTTTATGTTTGGGTTTTGGGCGATATATCACGCAAACGCGGGTAAATTTGATATTTTAATGAAGTTTGATTATTATATTATATCACGGACATAATTAACAACCTTCTATCTTTTAGATCCAACCGATAGTCGTATCCGAAGTAACTGAACTTGAGCAACAATTAACGACTCTTGCAACAGATAAAAAAAATATGAGTCTGACGTTAATCCCAACATATTTAATTATATTGTCCACTTTAAACGGTATAGATGTTTCTAAGTCTTTAAAACAGTTCCTTGTTGCTTTATCTATGAGTGGCACCAGTATTACTAGTTTACAGATCGGAATCATTATGTTATGTACTCAGGAACATATGCAAGAATACGTCCTTAGTGGTTTATGGGATGGTTAGTTTTATCAAATAGTTTTGATAGAATTTTGTTGTTTTTTTAATTAGAAATTTAGTAATCAAGTTTTGTCTTCCATACTTTTTTTTTTATAGGGGTAGTGCACCAAAGACCCATTGTAAGATGTGCAACCGCAACATTATTTGGTTGTGTAATAGCTCACGTTTCCGATCGGTTAGCAAGTGCTAAGGTAGTTCCTGCAATTGTTACGCTCGTTAATGATCCTGATATGTAAGATATCTTTGTAAATATTTCGTTTATTTCAAATTAACTATTTAATACTAAAATAATAATAATAAAACCATTTAATTAAATTAATTAAGTCAATTATCTATTTTGAAGCAATATGAACATTTGTCATAGTTAACATACTTCTAGAACTGTTCGATCTGCTGCAATTCCTTCTCTCGGTCGTTTAATAACGGAATGTAAAGTGAGAGAGATGCGTGATAAAGCACGTTTAACTTTAGAAACCATTGCTAAAGAACCTCAAGGTGTTCCGCCTACTTTAGCACTTCCACTGGTTTCAACATTAGCATTTATTGCCCCTAATTGTCCTCAAAATTATATAGAAGATGGTAAGTTTTTATAAAAATTTGCATTTTTAATATTTAGCACGTGAAATTAAAATCTTTAATTCTGTATAGTTATAGCTACCCAATTAATGGGGATAACTTCATCAGCGTTGCAACAAGGTCGCAAGATCGATCTCATTAGTGCTTTGGTCGAAGCATATTCTGTCTTGGTTTATTGTCCACTGAGTAATCAGTGTGTTTCTGGCGTGTTACTGCCGGGATTGAAATATCTTGAACAATTGGTTAATCAATATTTACCTCAACAGAAGGAAGCTGTTCGGTCACTTTTGCGAGAAGCCGAATCTCGGCAGGATCTTTCAAAACCAATGGAGAGGTAAATACACAACCTGTCTATTTTGAAAATAATTTTGCAGTGGATTGTTTATTGTCGTTTTCTCAGGTCCTTATCAATGAGTTCTGGCCTCTCATTATCAATGGCTACAGTAAATGTAGGACAAGGTGTAGAAGACATGAGACAAAGAGTGAGCAAAATATTTCAACAAAAGACTAGTTCACCAAGTATGTCAAGTATCTTTCGAAAGAAGTAAGATCTTTTTTTGTATTCATGTTTGTACACATATATTACTTTTTATCATTTCAAAATTCTATATTCCCTTTTCATTGTTTTCAAATTTTATTTATTCATAATTTCTGTTGTACTTACCGCATGCATATGTATTATACGATTAACGGTACAAGCGATGCACAACATTTACACCAATCAGGATATAATATTATGTAAGTATTACTCATTATAATCGGAATACATATAAGTTCGAAGACAATTATTATTGAATATTGCTGTAATGATGTGTGTGCCTTTTAAAATGTAATTTTAAATCACGTAAATTACAAAATCTAAATGTTTGGAGACAGAAGAAAAGTCAATAGTATATTAATTTTGTTTTTTAACTGCACAACTAAGTATAACGTTAAATACTAAAATAGTTGCAATGTTTTATATCGTCATTTTTTTCAAGGCATCGTAATAAGTAGAATGTTGTTATAGTTTGTTATTTTATATTTTGTGACATTATAGTTTATTTATTAAAATGAATCTCACCACTTATTAACGCCGATAATTTATGAACCGTATAACGTTATCGTGCTCCTACTAAAAAAATTTTCAAATATGTTCTGCCATAACACGACTACGAATTTAAAAGTAAAGTTTTAAGAGTATTCGTTATATCTTAAATTATATAAAAAAATAATTATAGGTAAATTAACTGTGCAAGAAATCGGTTGTGATCATTAAGCGTTGAATGTCGGAAGAGACAATTTCATTTTGTATTACTGTTTGATATTATAAAGCAAAATAGTCTTTATTCTTATCACGTTTAAGCATTTTGTGTGATATTATAGATCTATTACAATTAGAACATATGTATGTATATTTGTACTTAAATCGGTTACATAAATATAAATCGGATAATATTATCTTCTTCGCTGTAAACGAAAGAAAGAAAAAAATTAATCAAATTTATTTAAAATAGATCATATCTTGTAAGAATATTTTATTGTATCTATATATATATACAATTAAATTTCCCGTATATACATATATGTTGATACACATTACATGTATATAATCCATGTATACGTATATATGTATATATATGTGGTATATACAATGATCAATAATTTACTTCGTATCTCACGATCAATGTATTATCGTTATTTTACATACATATATGTACATATATACATCCGTATACATGCATATGTATTTACGTTTATTAAATATTAAATACTGTAGCATATATCATTACCGTGCAAAGAATAAATTTTATAGTATATTTATTCTAAATGCATTGTCCTAAACATATTCGGTTTTCTTAGACATATTAGAAACTCTGGTTATGTTTGTATGAATCGATGACTCGCCAACTGTTGGCCACGTACGTTTTATTACGATATAACGCGCGAAACATTCAATAGCGTCCGAATTAATCGATACCCTGAGCAATCTAGATAATAGTTCTAAATCTAATTTTACTTTGCATGGACAATTTTCCCGCCGTGATTCGTAATTTTTACACGGGTTAGATTTGGGGAACTTGCTTACGTCTAAGAAACCTTCGGTGTAATACTATTTATGTACATGACTTTGAATTTTAACGTGACATTTTAATAAAAGGGAAGAAAGCTTTTCAGTAAGCTCTACGTGAGTAACAACGATAAGTGTATATCTGTGAATGAAAATACATAGTAGTTCTCTTTTATTATGCCTTGTTATTCGAACGAAACAAAAAAACTATATCACAACTATCGTATGCGTATGAACTGCGCAATAAATTAAAAAAAAAGTCAACCGTTGTCTCCCTCTTTTTCATATTTCTATAACTACGTGTGTTTTTGCAATATGAATTCTTGTATTGAAAAAATGGTACGATACAAAAGTTTAAATTTTCATAAATTAAATCGCAGTAAAATAAAAAATCGTTACAATGTTAAGTCATCATTACGAGTTAAATAATAAATACGTATCATTTTCCTTCCTTGCTTTCTTTTTTACTCTGGATTTTAACGTTCCTTTCGAAAATTGACTTCATTCGTGCGAGATAAGTTCTTCTTCTAGGATTTAAGGAAAAGAAAAAGAAAAAAGGAAGAAAATTCGTGCTATACAAACGCCAGACTCGTTTAACGCGACTTTTTAGTAATCGGTATATAATCTTCCCGTTCCGTACGTCGCTTGTTTAATTCTCACGAAGACGACACTTCTTGCTTCGTCAACGATAATAATACTAAATAAAAATGGCTATCTATTCGTTGAGAGGGTAGTAATATCAGCAAGAATTGAACAAATTTATACAGGGCTGGAGCATGCCTGATTGAGAAGCGGCCTGCCACAGACACGGTGTGTTCTGTATCTTCGATGAGCATGGAACGAGTTGATGAAATACTCTCAAATAGTTTTTTTCCTCGTCTCGGGGTTACCAGCGAATATATGACAGTATTCTGCTCTTGCTGATAATGCTGCTAATACGAATTCTATTCAAACATAATAGAGAACAAAGTAATTACTGTTATAAAGTCAAGATAACTTTCTATCTTAATATAGCAGCTTGGTTTAAGTAAAACATACCAAAATTTACTGTTGTGTCAGCAAAATCGATCTTTGCATTCTGAAAAATTTTATCAGATTCTTCCGTTGGCGTACTTAATGAGAGTTTTAAAGCCTTCCTTAATTCCATTTTATTGATACAAGATAATGACTTGGTACCACATACCTGTTGATTATGACGTAAATAATACGTATATGTAGCAGATAAATAATTTAGAAGATTATTTCTTATTGGTACTTACTTCGAACGCTGTTTCGATTTTGTCTAGCTCCGAGTTTGCGGTTGTTGTAGCTAACACCGTGAATAAATATTCTTCCAAATCTATTTTACCATTTCCATGCTGGAATAGTTATAGGATGAGTAAGTGATGTGTTGTGTATAACAAAAAGTGAAATATTGGTTATATTAGAATTACACAATGAACTATGTATCTATGTATGATACACAATGAGAAACGTTTATAAAGAATGTTTGGAGAATTACAAACGGAGCATAGCTATTTTAACAATCGTATACAAAATTTAATTAAGAGAGGATATGACAAATGATACAGACCCTATCGTGTATCCGAAATAGTTGCTGAGTAACAGGCTCTTTTTCATCTATTCTGAGGATTTGCGCAAATTCGTGCAAATTAACTTCTTCGTTAAATCTCTCTGTTTTCTTCTGAACTAACTCTTCTTCCGTTTTGGCCGATACCAAACTGTGGAAATATATTGCAAGATTAATTATATGATATATATTTGTATTTTTCTACACACATGTATTTGGTTTCAACGACATACCCGAGTTTGTTACGAAGTTTATGGGCTTCCACTATGATGGATGCTCGTGGTATGTTTAGCTGATGAGCTTTGCTAATAATTCGGCAATCGTCATACGTATAATCTGACACGGGAATCTGTAATGCCCTAAAAAATAAATAAAATTCCATTTTTAACAATGTACTTTAAAAAATACAGATTTCATTTTCATTTCTTTTTCTATTAAGTTCGAATTCATTAGATTATTTATAGATTTTAGATTAATTTTCCTATTAGATTTTATCGTTGAACATGTTAGTAACTTATGAACATTCGACTTAAGTCAAACACGGACAAGTTAAATGACTTTTCAGAATTGAGAAACACTTGTTTGGAGTAACGAAATGTACTCACTCCGCCATAAGACGTCGCACGTTATTTGCATAAAGCTTGGGATCTGTTTTCTCCGCTTCGCTTGGTTTGTAAACAGGCAGGAACTCTATTTCACAACTGCTATTCAGTTGTGTCAATGTAAGCCACAGTAGCTTTAATCTGAAATACAAATTTTTGTAATTTAACATTTTGATAAACAGAATGTCAGGAGATCTTTCCGTTTAATTTCTAAAATATTCGATTTAGTAATCTTAATTACAAAATGACATTTAGAATAAGACGCTTACGCCCCAGGACCTTCCCACGTCCATGTTACGGTGTCCAATTTGTTAGGATATCTGATGCAGACTGGCTGAACAGGAACACCAGGGTAAAATGCACCTGATTTGAAAGTAATAAGGCACGATCGATTTGTACAAGTACCTTCCGGGAATATCATCACCTGTAGAAGAAAATTGTTAATTTGATTTAAATATTTTCTAATAAGGGATCGAAGATAAGACTTTATTGTGCGAGATTCAAAAGATTGTACACATTTTCAAGCGAGGTATTTCTTAAGATGTTTCTAATTAACAAATAATAACACTAATACCGATGCTAATTTTAATTTTTGTTGCAGATGAACGATTACCTTGCGATTCGATTTAGAGCGCTATGTAATTTTAAAAAAAATTATACCTAAAAATTATATATAAAATTATTAAAAAAATATGCGTTTAATTTAAAAATTATACGTTACGCTACTGTACTTGAAAAATTTATGCGGATCATAATATGAAGAGTAATTTTTAGAAAATAAGCGACTGCAGCGAGTTCATAAGCTTATTTTTAATAAAGGTACTATTTTTATGAGGGCTACCTGTGGCCAATCCTCTTTTGAAGTAGCTCTTTCGATAATTTCCTTGATAGTATTTTGCCGTGAATTCGGATCTTCTCTCCAAACATAGACCGGTTGTGTATAGTTGATAAGCTCTGTGAGTACATCATAAAAAAGCGCATAATGTAACAAACGGAAACGTAGTACTCCTAAATCAATATTTGTTATGCAATTCATATGCTGTAGAGAAACCTACTTTCTTTTTATAAATTTTATTTATGTAGAAAGAAGAGTTAATAAAAACTGCGTATTTTATAATACTTTTTACTTTCTATCATATTTTCTGTGCTATGTTTTGCTATGTTTTTTTCTTTTTATTAAAAAAAAATTTCATTTCTAGATAATATAGTGGCGAATGGGACAATCCATAAAGAAATTATTATTAAATTTATCTTTTTTGGAAATTTCTTCCAATTGATAAAAGATACACTTGAAGCGTTATTTGTACAAGTAACCATTAAATTACCAGTGATATCTGCATACAATAGGCGTTAAAACTTTCATTAAAGCTATCGATAAAACAGTTGAAAAGTTTTAACGTTTATGTTATCAAATCATTATACTATTATGTCTTTTTATTGCTACAGGCATCGGTAAACTATTTCTTATTGAAATGGTTGGGCATCCTTTTGATCAAAGTTCGAAGACTTCATGATTTTCCAATTAAACTAATAGAGGTTTTCAAGTGTGAGTCGTATTCTTTTACAAGATAATGAGACGAAATACAGGAACCGAAAACTCAAAACATAAGTATTCGTATCGATTCTATTTATAAGTAAACGAGACTGTCGATATAGTTGATAGTAATACATAAAATCAATTTTCATGATGAAAACAATCGAAAGACTGTAAAATATCAAAACTATGCGGTGTATTGAAAAAAGAAGAAAACTTTGAGAAAAAGGAATAAAGAGCGTTTTAATCGATGTGGGTTCTAATATTAATAGCTTCGGTGTAAAATATAATTTTATACAGTCTTGTAGAAATACTTAATGAGCTAAATTTGCACCACAACAACGTTAGTTAACGTAGTTAAGTTAGAACAATGAATGAATGAATGGGAAATGTGTACACCACGAGGTGAAAGAAAACTTCAAATGAATAGAAATTTCACGTCTACGAACGTTGTCTTCGAATTGCAGGTAAACGTATTATTACTGTAATCTTATATCTCCGTTATGTTAACGACAATCTTTTATCATGATACGATACTTCTTCCTTTTTTAAGTTTTTTAAATTAATATGTAATATTTCCTTATCATTTCTTTAATTAATTTTTAACCCATTTTCAACAAACGTAAATTATTTACACATAAAAAATTAAATTTCCCTCTCGTAAAAGAATTAATTTCATCTTTCTTTCAATAACATAATCAAATATTTCTACTTTTCTCAATGAATTAAGTATCACGAAGCATCCAAGTCTCTAATTTTTCTCTTTAACGCTCTAACGTAACCCCTATCATCGTCTACATCAAATCGAATTTACGCAGAAAAACCTCTAATAGTTTGTGCGTTACAAGTTTTATGTTTCATCCTACAAACGGTTAGTTCAACTGTTTTCGTTAAAACCACCGATCTATCGAACAACCGCCATTACGGAAGTGTTGCGACAACCACGGTTAGTCTACCGTTAACGGAGAGGGTTAATCGTGGAAAGCGAGCGTGAAATCGTTTCAATAATTTGCACATACTTCCGATAAATGGGTTCAATCCTGATTCTCGTCTTACGATGATCGAAGGGAACCCGGTTATGTAGACGATCCCTCCGTCCATGAAGGTCGAATGGGGTGCAACCACTAAAATCGGCGCTTCCGCCCTCGTCGCCTGTCTTCCACGCACAATGATTCTCATTCCTCCTGCTTGGTATGTCAGTCGGCCCATAAAACACAGCCAGGGCACTATTTTGCTGCAGGTTTCAATCGAGCATGGTTAACGAATCCCAATTACATTAACGCGATTTCTTGCGTTCTATTTATTTCGTCTCGAGATTTCAGCCTCGAGAACACATCGTTTGGACGTTAGACGCTCTTAACGAGCTCAACGTTTATTTCTTATTTTTCCAAATTTTAATACAAGCTGAATATTTGTCATTGATCGCTTATCAATCGAACGTTTGAACGGAGTGGATTGTTTAAGATATTATCGAAGAGCTCACTCGAAAAGTGATAATTTCGTATCTTTCTCTTTTTGTTCGTTTTTGTTTTTTTTTTTTCATGCAACGTATTTTTATACAAAGGAATTTCGTTGGTGACAAAAAATTTAGAATTTAGGATGAGATTCGTTGATCTTGATTTGACTATTTGTATTTCATTGGCGCTACGGTGATATTGATATTGATAAGGCGAACATTGTTTCTTTTTCCCCGTTTTCACCGATAAAAACGCAAGAGAAAAGAAGGATACTATATAAATAAATTTATGAATATTTAAGATAATCCTTTTTGGTGTGAAACCCCGGTTTCAAACGGTTTTATTACAGAAGCATTCCGGAGGTGTTGATAGATCGTATCGTACAAAATTTAATATCGTAACAATTTTTGCAGTTTATTAGCCAAATAACAAAGAGTCGATAGCCAAAAGATCGAAAAAGACAATGCAGCTTTTTAGAATTTCGCGGCCTGGATTTTTACATGTAACGTTGCTCGAAGTTTCTGTGGGCCACGTTACTCTGCTCTTTTCTTTGAATCGACTTTCTAAGACAAGGTAACTGTGGAAATCTCGAGCAGCATTAGCGACGTTGAAAATCATCGTCTCGTTATATTAATGGGCTCGAAAGCATGCAGAAATTCATTGCGTATATGTATATATGTATATCGAAAATTGTCGCGTGCTCGTTCGCTCGAACTCTCAGTTGCATATTCTACGGAAGTGATTTACAGTTTCGTCGGTGCAAATATATAATTAGCGCCAATTAACGTCTTGAATATTGTACAAGAACTAACGATAAACGTAAATTGAAAGGATATTAATTGAAACGATAATTTTAGCATAAACAAAAGTTTTCTTTTTTGGGTAATATAAACTTTGCGATCATATCGTATTTTTCGATGGTACACGGTTCTTATAGTTCATTGCATCAAAGTAGACAGAGCTGAAAATATATCAAGCACTTTTTACCTCAAATAGGTAGAGCTGTAGTGACCTATTATAGCAGAAAATTCCACGATCAGGTTTATTTGCACAACAGTGAAACTTTACGGCTCCGAGAGCCACGTGACACTGCAACGAGAAAGTTTACGCAGCCGTGAGTTCGTTACTCTACGAGTACCGACAATTTTCATTTGTTATATTATTACACTTAGGAAAATATACTTCGGAAAACTTTTTCCTTTTTTCCCAAGCAATTAACCCTTTCGGCCTCTATGTTGCGAAAATACGTAACATCGTACTTTGATAAGTTGTTGATTAACGAAACAATAAATGTAGTTATCTTTGAAGTTTGTAGTTAATGCATCGTATATTTCTTATAATTGTTCAGTATTGCCCTAATCATTAACCATCCAGTGCACGTATTGCGTCGTGGCCGATTAGGTCGTGCCATTTTTTTCTCATTTCCTTCCATTCAACTTTCTTGGAATTTACTTTTCACTCGTACATTGGAGGGTTAATAAAAAAAAAAATAATTTTTTCGAAGATTCCAAAAGAATTCCCGAAAGGGTTAAAAAGAGAAGAATGAACTTTTATGTTGTTTTATACGCAACGATTAGGTACATCCAGTTTTGAGATTACTCTAACACTAGAATCACTGATTTGTAATTGGTGTCCAAAATAATGTTTCGAACGATAAGTATTAGTTATCGTGTTACTACAAAAATAATAATATAACGTTTATAAGTTATTGAACGAGGATTAAGACTTTCGTCAAAAATATCTGCATGTTTTTAATAATTGTCAAAATGAAGAATCTGAAATTTGTCGTTTTAATTTGCCGATTTGATTAATTCCAGTGTTAAAGTATAGACAGAAAGAAAGGAAAAGTTAAAAAATAGAATAATTAGAGAATAAAGGAATGAATAAATATACGAAGCGGCTGGTAGCGTCAAGCATTAAAAGTGTAACACTTTGAACCTCGCAATGGAAAATAATGTGTTCCAACGGTGTTCTAGAACGTTAAATAGTATCAGTTAATAGCATAGGTATGCCCATTATTCCATAGCTTGTTAGTGACGATGTAGATGTTCCCATTCACCACATATATATGTACATTTCTCTGTTAACCTAATTTGGATAACTCTGCTTTTTTCTGTTTTCACAATTGTGCATGTGTATACAAATATATAGTTTAGCAATTGATATGTCTACTATGATTAACATTACGCATTTCCAAAAATTTGAAGAGCAGTATGATCCTGTATAATTTTCAATACATGTAGGCAAGTAAAATCGTTTTAACGATATGATTGAAAACTGAATCAAACGAAATTTTTACGAATTGCTATTTGAAAATTCGTTTTTTTGTAGAACCTTTATTTTTTTAACTTTGAGCTAAATTCTTTGGTCGTCGGATACAAACTGCAAGGACTCTTGAATACTAATGAAACTTTTCAATTTACGAGCTTCTAGTTCAACATATTTCTTTGCCAAGTATCGATATAAAATAGCGAGTACGAAAGGATATGTTCGTATTCAAGTATTCAACTTATAAGAATAAGGTAGAGGATCTGTAGATTTGCATATGTATTATAAGACGCATAAAAGTCGTGTTCCACCATTTCATGTTTCTTAAAATGAGCCAAGCAAATGACGTACTTTCTTCTTTTATTTAAAATTGTATTTTAAAAATTCTCCAATCTGTTTCGCACAGTATCATTGTTGCGTCTTTCAAGAAAGGAAATAGAAAGCTATGACCTCTTATGTCCAGGCTATTATTAATGAAATTTTACAAGTCACAAGTTATTAACATAACAGCAACAGGCTGGAATATCAAACAAACGAAGTTGCACATTTAAATTTTACAAATTGCCAATCGGTTGATTTAATGCAAAATTATAAATTTCCAAGAAAGACAGAAATCTATAACCTGTAACTTATGTCGATTCACTAATGTCATTCTATGCTTGGTAAATTATCGTGTTGAAAGATTCTCGTTATTATTAATCTCTAATACCTATCACAGTTCTTAGTTTTAGTTGTCAAGTAAAAAAAAAGCAAAAAATGCAACAAATTCGTAAATGAATTATAAAATTATAAAACAATAGTTCTTTAGCTTATTTCATTGTTTTAGATGCGAAATGTAAATTTTGACAGTACTAAAGAAATACCACGAGATGGAACAACGACTCTGGTGGCTTGACAGAGCAAAAAGTAGGAGACCTACTTCCGAAAAAAGGAATGCGTCCGATCTCTGCCTTGGCGACGATGCTCGGTCCGCCGAGGTAAACAACCGGAAGTGCATCGAAGAAGCTTGAATGCGGAGCTAGGGCTAACACGGGGGCATCCTTTGTTTCCGCTTTACGACCTTTGACCTTCAGGTGATGAAATCCCCCGCAGATGAACAATGCTCGTATCATCCAGCAGATTATAATTCTCATATCTCTGTTTTTTCCATTTTTTTGTTTGTAGTAAATATATTTAAATAATATTATTTGGTATATATAATTCTACTAGTTGCTACATCGTGCAATCTATATTTCCCAATTTACGATATTCAGAACGATCGTAAAATTCAGTAGAATTTCGTTTACAACATGCATTATTCGACAACGTCCTCTATTTATATCTTTCTTTTTTTTTTCTTTTCTATCAAATGAAATTTAGTAATGTAGAATAGTCGTGGATTAAAGATTTTTGTAGTTCTAGCGAAGAAACTGCATGATATGCATGTATAAATTTATTATTTTCCTTTTGGTAACCGAGATTCTACTGTGCTGATTAAAATAAATTTTTTATGAAATTATTTATAGCCAATAGTTAAACTGATGTAGAAATGAGGTTATGCATATTGTTTCGATTAAAATCGTTACTCGGTTGATTGGAGGAAGATATTCCAGTAAATGGCAAAATGAATTCATTTTGTACACGTAATATATTTTCGCACTTATTGTAACATGCAAAGCATTTTAACTACTCGATATATTGATATTACAAGACATGCATGGCCTTTCTCCAAATCATTTTGAAAATTTTTGCGATAAGAAAATAAGGATATAATAATTTTCCTTAAAAGAAAGACTTACTATGATAAACAAAATACACATTCGTTAGCATCTACGAAAGATAACAAGTGCATTTGCGAAACAAAAATGTTTATTGTGAAACAAAAATTGAACAAAATTTTAGAATATTTATTGTATATACGTTTTATGACCAGTTGAGATTTCTCCTACAATATGTAGAGGACAATTGAACTACTTTCCTAAAGATTACATCGAATCTCAAGTCTATACTTTGTTACTAAATTCTTTATCAGGAACTAGGCACCGGTGATGTATGTTAGATCTAAGGTATCGTTTATATTGATTATTACATGAATAAAGAAAATCATCGCGTGTACTTTGGCTTCACCGACTACGAGTCAAGCTTACAGAAAAATGTTTACTCGATCTTTATTTCAAATATCCGATGAAATTATTTTATCAATCTACTTTATAACTGAATTTCTCTTTTTATCATAGACTTCAAATATATTTAAAAGACTCTGAGAATTTAGATTTTAATCGTTCGTAAAAAGCAATTAATAATACAAATTACAAGTTCGGAAGGAAATAGGTCTTTTTTTCGTTTGAACATATTTTTAGTACGAGCTATTCACATTCCTTTAAATGTCTATTATTTAATTAGAAAAGTAATGCCCGGATGATTAATTATCTCTGGAGGATTGATATTTACAAATATGTATTTCAGAGGATTAATAACCTACATGGTATGCTACACCTAAAAACGTATAAAACATAAAATCAATATTCTACTTCTACATCGTGCATGGAGGTTTGCATTTCCAGTTAATAATAAATGCCAGGTATGTATCTAATATTTGGCGTGCAAAGTAGAATAGCAGCTAGGATAATCATTGTTTTATGCAAAATGCGATTACATTTGCGTGTGAACAAATATTTGTCGATAATATTTTTCCTTTCCATGTATTCTTATGGAGGATTTTATTATTCTAAACAATGTCCACGTGTGAAAGTGTTAATGAAAGTTGCAATTCAATTTGACACACTTTCTGCTATGGAAATCCAAACAATTATGCACACCCAAATAAATGCACCTAAATGATTACCATAGTAAAATGAAACAAATTTTCATGTTATAACCTCGTCATTAATTAGAAACGATAGAATTATAACATAAAAAACTAAAATATTATCAATATAAACGTAAGTATCGCTTCCTTTTCATTGAACTAAATTCCAAATGTCATTACCATGTTACGAAAATTTAATTATTTAATATTTTAATAAAAAAAAAAGAAACTTATAATTACAATAAATAATCGTGGGTATAATTTTCCATTGAATCGTATTCTACATTCTTTAAATTTTATCAAAAAAAATAATAACTAATGCTCTCATTTTTACTATAAAAATGATAGTATAATCAATAATACAAATTTCTAATCGCAATATAATAATATAGCAGTACCATTTATCTGAATGAAACTTCTCGAATTATTTTCAAAAATCTATTGTACATTCCCACGCGAAACTCGTTTGAAGTATCGTTCGAATTGTGAGCAAAGCGAAGTGCAACGTTACTTGCTACGATTAAATGTCGCAACAATCGAACAATCGAAATGATGACACACGATCGACGAAAACATCTCAGGCAAGCGTATTGTGAATTACTTCGATTCGAAGCTCATACCGAAACGGACGTGAACTACTTATCCGACGCATACTTTCTCCCGTTACTTATTCTTTTTATCGTATCCTCGCTCGTTTCTTCGCCGCGGTCATTCACGCTCTCTCCCCACTGGACATCTTCAATCATTTCAAGTGTATGACCATGAAATAAAATTCTTCAAGGGATTTCCGCAATTTATCCTCATCATTTCGTCTGGACGATAATACGCCTTCGCTAGGAACCATATGCTTATCTCTCTCTTTAATCATGAAAATTTTAACAGACATTTATTGCCTCGGTATTTCTTTCTATTTGGTCCAGGAAAATATAAATTATAATATTAGGATAAAAATTACATGAAAAAGTGTCAGATAAAGAATAAAAGAAAAGAATTGAAAATGAAATTTTCTGTTGAAAATGATCTTAGTTTGAGATTTAGAAACTTTGTGTAATTTCTAGAGGAACTTGCGGATTTATTAAACGTTTGATATGACCCACGTCATCTCGATTGCACATTGCTCATCTTTATAGCGATCTAAATTAACTTACGTATTATTTTTTCTTATAAACTGCATCCGTTTGTCATAAATTCTAATTTTGTCTTTGTGACTCCGTATCGTTACGTCTCATCAAATTAAAATTTATCTAAAAATAACGTCTGACCGGATAATTCTTAAAGTTCGTGCTACATATAAATAAATAGTGAATATGCGTATTTTTTGTCTGACGGCGTGATACTAACGTTTCGACCTAAATATAATTTGCTGTGCGAGTATGAAGTAAATGAAAGCTAAGACTGACAACGAATGAAGAACGCATGGAGAAACATAGTAAGTTCATTTTTATTAATTGCATAATTTTAGTATCTTTCGGTAGTTGGAAGGTAGTATTTTCATGCAACATATTTGAAGAAAGAAACTTTGGCTCAAAAGTATAAGCCTCCTAAAAACCCACGATAAATCCATAAAATTGTATGAAGAAAGCTATATAACAGTAATTATTATTACGATTAGCATAATTAACATTGTGATAGTCAATATCTTTAAAGTGTTCAAGGAAAAAAGAAACGATCTTGATAACACGAATTCGATTAACATAGTAAATTAAAAAAAAAAATAAAAATTATTCAATTTTCTTCAGTGATTTTCAAATGCAATGTTATCATAGACATATAATCGGTACAAGGTCTGAAGACTAAAAGCGAGAATATATTTAACATCATCAAATAAATTAACATATACAAGCACACAATGTAATGGAAGCAAGCGGAAACTCGTCATTTTACATGCATAAGAATAGAATAAACGAATATGGTCATTAAATGAAAATGAAGCAAAAGTTAAATAAAATGCTCGATGCTCGCGGATAGTTGTGACTACAAACTGAACATCAGAGAATGAGATGATGCGTAGATGATATATATGCATATATGCAAGGAAGAAAAACGTAACGGTAAGTTGATGTATCTTACCGTCTCCACCCTGTCAGAGGTGCGCGACGTAGATCTTCTTCGGACAATCCAAGAAGACCTAAACAAGCCAGGAGCCAGGCCATGATCACCAGAGCCGTAATTGCAGCCAGTCTGAATGGTAGTAGTGCTACCGTCAGGAATGCCGTCTGAAACATGAAGCATTTCCGCTTCAACAACCACTTTCAACGTATTACAGCGGTCGAGAGACGAAAAAACCGTCAAGTTCTACAACCCTCGGAGAAAGATTGTACGTCAAAGCGTCGATTTTATGCTCACTACCTGTTTATCGTTGCACCGTTCGACTCTTTGTAGTCTAGCACCTGTTTATACGTTGTTGGTTAATTTTACGACAGGTGTATCGTTGATAAATTAACAATAAATTGTTCACAACTTGATAAAATTAAAGTTTTAGTTGTTTGCGATTGGTTGAGATTTAAATATCATTCGTTTTGATATTCGCGTTATATTATCCTGTGTTCTCTTAAATCGAATAAAACATATGAAACTTTAAGACTGTAAGGCAGAATAACTGTAAAGATAAACTCTTTTCAGTTTGGTACAATGTAGAGTTCGGTTAGGATTTGAATAATTTTTTGTTTTGATATTCATGTAGCTTTATTTTATGTTTTTCTAAATAGATTGTACAGCCTGTCACTCTATTTTTATAATACATTAATGATTATATAATTTTCAAATAAGTTTCAGATATTCGTATTTCAGTTGAGTTTTGGATATGATTTGTATGAAAATTTGAATTGCATTATTTTGCGATTTTTTAGATAAACTACATAAAGTATGATTTTAATGCATTAAAATACATGCATGACTGCGATCCAATATATATAAGCAAAAATTTATTAAAACTACCTTTCAAAGGTTCAACAACATAGTAAGTTATAATAATTACGCGTTGAAGCTGATAACGTAAATCTTACTGAAAAAATTTCATATGAATTAGGAAGAAAATGTCCATTGAAAATCTGAATCTATATTATAAGATTGTTCGTAGCATATATAGAATTGAATTACATCAAATACAATAATAATACGAATGTACAAAATTAATGAAAATGGCTATCGAAATTTTATTGTATTTTATTGTAATATTCTATTATAAATTTATTGTAATATTCTATTTTATTGTAATAAATTAACGAGATTTCCAAGGAAAATAATAATTCTCAAATATTTTAACAATTTCCTAATGGTACGTTCCAGTTTACTTAAATTTTTGTAAATATCCTAATAATTACGAACTGGTGTGTAATGTACTACTCCAGTTTATGTGTATTTCAAAACGTCAAAACTGGTCGATAGTTTTAATTTGCGACAAACTCACGTAGCATAAAATATTCCAAAATTTTCCGAGCAAAATTCGACGTCGAAGCGAGCGAACCCAGGTCAGAAAGCGGCAGGTCATTTCCCAAATCGTTTCTCGAGGAAGAAAATGTTAGAGCAGGTCAAAAAGGAAAGGTTCGGGGTTCTTTATTTGACCATTACCTGAAGGTGGTGCTTTACGCCATTTTCAGTTGTAGTTGACGGTGACTTAAATTGGAGGATGGGCAAGTATTTCGCTGATAAGGCTAACAAAACCTAGATCAGCACATTTTGTACATTCATCAGCGGACAATGAGTAACGCCACAAATATTCGATAGAGCTCGTTTTGCGTGATAATCGATAAACTTTGATCGCCTACCTTCGATGACAAGGAGCGATGAAAAGAACGACGACCTTTTGTGCTGATTACTTATATAACATTTTTTAACCTCCTTTCCATTTATTTGCAGACTTTTACTTCACATCAATTATCATCACGTCAGATTATCATTGGGTCTCATTTATTTCGTTGTAGTATTTTCAGAACTTCCTGCATTCCAAATTTCTTTCCAAGAGAAGATGCTTCTTGTCGTAAATAGATAATTTTACTTTTTGTAAACATACATTATTGACAAATAAATGTACGATAAACGTCTTTTCCTTTTTTAAGTTAATCGAGCTTACACTTTTTGCAAGGTTGTTCGACGATTTAATAATCTAAGAATTTCGATAACTTTTTCGTACGACGCCTTGTATCTACAATTTCGTTTTAACATTTTTACACGTGAAATTTGCTCCAAAGAAGGTTCATATGCAAAATGGATGACCAATTAATCGATATCTAACGAACAAATAAATTTTGAATTAACCGAGTGAACTTTTCTTTCTCGATGAGAAGAACTACTTCTTCCTTCAGTGGGCCAAGGCTACGGTACTGTAGATGATTTAGGATGCTATTTGGTACGGCCGATAAAGAGAGGAACGTAAAGGCGTAGAAAGACGGAAGGGAGAGCGAAGAGTAAAAAAGGAGAAAGAGTACCGTTCAGTCGTTCCGTTAGGCTCCATCTCACCTGTTAACTTCATTTCGTCCATGTATTACAGAGAGACGCACATGTATTTACATAACACGCACACAAGAAACTTTCAAGATCGAGGTTACGACCGAGTAATCCTTTCGACACTTTGAGCTTCCTAACAAATGAAATTCCTTTTCACGTTCTATTTCAAAACAAGAAAAAAGATTATGCATAGATTATTTTTTTACAATTCTTTTAGCAGATATTCCTCTTTGCAAGTTGACTTTTAACGAATACAAAAGGCCTGAGTAATTTAAATTGTATTTCAAGTTTCACTTTTTCTTTATGACGTCGGCGGTAATTAAGTGCAGACTTTAATTGGCCAAATTGTTACTATGCGACTGGTAATACTAGACGCGATAAATGTTTGAATACAATGTAGTTGATTAGATGGACGGTGTCTTTATCTTGTCCATGTTTTTTGCAATTCGATATCTTGAAGAAGAGAGAGGAAGGGGGAGGAAGCAATTACAATTTTTAATTAAACTTTTATTTCTATCGTATAAAAAAAGTACTCGATATAAAGTTGAAGTTATTAATAAAAGTGGGATAATAAAGTTATTGATTGCATGTTTAAATTAGTGTTTTAGCAATTTGTTGTTCTAAAGCATGTTCCCATGACCATTTTTGACCTTAAAAAATTGTTTCATGTACATTTTTAGCAAGATAGGTATGCAATAGCCTCTATGAAAATATATTCTAAGTAGGACGCACACTGAATTTAGAAACCTTTGGATTTTGAAGTATGAAATCATGAGATTACTATATGTAGGCATACAATAGTGAATCGGTGTTCAATGCCCCCGGCTTCTTGTTTAATTTCTCATCTATTCATACATAATGCATGTGTCATTCATCTGTGACTTTGAACACCAAGGCTATATCCAAATAACTTCTTTAACACTCTATCTTCTTGAGAAATCTGCACATTTAATCTCTTGTCCTCCCACTAGAAATATTTCTGCTCCATATACGTCAGGTTATGGAAAAATGTGGATTCGTCTTATTATTACAAAGAACTACCTTGATCATAACTACCTCGAGAAACTGATATTGTTTATACTCTCTACGATCTCGTATTTAGTGAAATAAATTTAATGAAATTATGAATTAAAAAAAAAACATTTTACAGTATTCTTTTTTGCATGACGAAATAATAATGTGTAATAGTAATGTATAACTTTAAGTAACACGAATTGTAATATACTTCGACATGATCATTTATCGTAAACTATCAATATAAGAACATGTACGTATAACTTCTTACAAACTTAATGTCTGAGAAATAAATTACGCGTGTATATTAAAATTATCTATGAAAATTTCGAAATCTAAATCGTGGATTTCGTCGAATAACTATTCTACGAAATCAGCGTTTTCAAAATGATTGTATTTAGGTCACTTGCAAGTAGCCTATAACTGCACCTTTTATATTCTGCTCTTCTTTGTTCGCGTTGCATATTACTCTCGAATATTATACAGACTAGTAGATCAATCGAAAAACTGAAAATGTGACGGTGAAAATTGATCTGACAGTTTCGTCGGTTATGTTCGATTTCTCGTTCCCCTTCTCGCTTAAAAACTTTTCAAAGAGAAAGATCGGTGAATGTTTACGAGGCAAAGATCATTAGTCTATTCGCTTTCAGCCGACTCGAAACTATCGTTTTTGCATTTTGCTTTTTGTCTTCTGTTCACGAAAACAATTTCCGTAAAGTTACGTTTATGAGAGAAAGTAAATAATAAACTTTTAGTGATATTGCAGACTGTGCAATTATAAATACAAACCATGCATTAAATCTTGTCGTTTTATCATTAGAAAATATTTATTTGCTTGTGACTACCTTACAACCAATTATTAGACATGTTAGTAAGTTCCATAGAAGACGCTGATAGTGAAATTCGCCACTTATGTGCACCTTTGATCGTATAGTTTCTTCTCTTAAAATTTTCACGAGATACGTATCTCTAAATGACGGAAAATCTTAACCTAGATCTTGAGACAAAATAAGGAAATAAGAATACTGATTTTTATCTCTTTAATTAGGTACTACTATTATAGGCGTTGAAAGACATTGAAATGTTCTATAGATCAACAATGCGATGACAAAAGAATTTTATAAATATATCTAAATGGATGAAAAATATTTAGAGTAATTTTTTAAATAAATCTATCGTTTGCATACTTGCTCGTCTTTGAGATAAACTGTTTTTGTTTTTGTAGTTGCTCGAAGGTTGCAAAGAACCGAGACCTCGTCCTATTTCTAAACTAAAGTTTAGTCTAGTATTGTCATGTTGATCATGGATGACTTAAATTGAAGACCGCATTAATGTTTTCAAAAGTTTGAAAGTTTTGCTTTTTCGCGATTTTTGCTTGGTTTTTAAATGTTTATATGCTTTAAAAATGGTTACTTAATTATTAGATCGGTATTTTTCGACTTACGATAATGTTTCCGACGACGTATGGTGAAAAATTTTGACCATTTTCGATTATTAAAATAATTATACTTTTCTAAGCCGAGGCTGTCATGCCATCGTTTTCTTATACCAGGTCATACCTGGTAGTGTACAAATCCAAAGATCCAAATGTTATTCGGTAATTAATCATAAATTTTTTTATAACTTTTCATTTTTTCGAAATTCTTGTTTGAATTTTGCGTTGCTTAAAAAGATTAAGGTAAAATGTAGTAATAAAAACTATTGGATGATATTCTGGATACTTGGGAGAATATTCAAAAATCTTTTCGGATTTCTC